TGATCAATGAGTGAAACCATTGTTACTTTAAGTGCGCAGACATGATGTTGCTGGCTGATACCATATCACAATTGCATTTCAGCGAGAACGCTGATCGACGCCACGGTTTATCTCATGTTGTTTTACATGTTGTGTGCTATATGTTAAATATTCTGAAGATCAGCTATATCTATGGAAAAAATTGGATCCGATAATTACCCATCTGGTTCCTTTGATAGTTTCCATTTCACAGAACATTAGGACTGTGCTCTTCAGGGGCTATTACGATGCGTGATGAGAAGTGGACAAGATAAACCGCTTTGTCAAAGACACGAATTTGAATTACAGTAACCGGCAAACCAAATATTTGAACATGTCAATGCAGGAACACAAAGCCCTAGTTTGATGTTTGCGGTCTTGAACAGTGTGACGGAAGCTGTTTGCTGCAAAAGTTGAACCCATTGCCAAGTTTCGAATCTACCATCCCCGCTAATGTTGGCGCCGAAAGAAAGAAACTGCTCTGCACTCCAAGTCAGTAACCCGTCTTTTCCCCAGTACGTTCCCTGCAATACCTCTGTGTTACTATCTGCCGAGATCTCACCTGGACTTCACATTTCAACTCTACTTTTTTAAAAATACGACGATTGTATTTATTTACTTCCGCTTGCGATCTTTAATAGTTCCACTGTATTTATCCACCCGACTTGTATATTTTTCCGTTGTTACTCATCTTCTTTACTGCTCTCCAGTTTTATTTACCGGTTTTAGAGTTAAATTATACGCAAATCTACGCCAATATATTAAATCATTTCGTGCACAAGCGGCATCTCCTACTTGCACTTGCTCAACTTTATCGCCGACAAACATTTTACCTCTTGCGAAAAACTGCAATAATATTCTACCAGGCATCACTCACCCGTTACAAACCACTTTTGTAACTAGTTGTAAACTTGCATATATTCGTACCACTGCCTACCGTTTGTCCGTTGCCCCATATCTTTCGAGAATTCTGGCGCAGAAGGCATCCGTTAGAGAAAACGTTTTGAAATCCTTACGTAAATACTACCCATTTTCACATACTTACGTCATATTCCTCATGAATTTACGATGCTGTGCTTTACTTTTTCCGACAGTATGCGACGATGAATGACCCTGATACGTAAGAAGCTGAAAACCCATCGATTAGAATGAATAAAGCGATTTATGACTGGACTCTATTTGTTTGGCACTCAGCCTGAACCCCGACGAGCCATATATACATATATATCTTCAGGTACCACTGCAAGCTCTTCTGGATAGCCTGAGTACCAGCGTAGCCATGTTCGGTTTGCGTTTTACACCTTCAAATGTTGCTACAAGATGCCGTTGGTTCAACACCCAGCCTTACGCAAACTGTGGAAGTAATAGAGCAAGTGGGTACGTTTTTGTTTGGGAGGCTATATCTCACCCGTTGGACGCATCACGGATGAATTATTCACTCGCATTTAGAAGACTCGATTGTCAACTAGAGACGCGACATCCGGCTGTCTGTGAAGGGTCGAGTATATGCTGCGGCAGTTCGACCAGTTCTGCTATACGGTAGAGGCTTGGCCCTTAGGAAAACAGGGTACACATAGCTAATCGGTGTTCAAACACCGCTGTCTACGCAGTATTAGGCGAATCTGGTAGTGTAACCGGACGAGCAATATTGAGGTTAGGCGCAGAGTTTTGGGTAGCTGCGGTCGACCAATGGAGCAAGTGGTCAACCTCCATAGATTACGTTAGTTGGGGTATGTGTTACGCATGTCACGAATAGGTCGCCGCAGCGAGCGATGCTCGCCGAGATGGGTAGTGGGTGGAATAATGTCAAGGGCGGCCAAACCAAGACCTGGTACGAAGGTATGAAAACCCTAACCAAGAGACTGGGTCACATTAGACTGCCCGGATGGGGACCTTTTGATGATCGTAACCGGTGGTTAGACACTGAGTGATGTGGCTGAGTGTCGTAAACAATGGCGTTTGTGTATCTCAATTTCATTGCAACCCCAGTTCACGTAAATTGTCCGTTTTCCCTTCGACTTTACTTTCAACTTTCTTACTGCTTCATCCAGATGACAGCAACCAAAAGCGGTGCACGAAAGTGCATGGTTAGTGGTTGTACGAACTGAGATTGAAGTTACGACCTGGCAAGCGTTGGTCAGCGTCGACATACAGTACACTGATGGGGTCATTCGTGGCATGCGCAATACACTGCGATCTATGGAGCTCAACCATTCAAGTTAAAGAGAGGTCACGATTCATCAATACTCTGTGCCTTATCTCAACACTCTAATATTTGGTTAGTTCGCCGGTATCACGCATTACAGCAAAGATAACGGTGTTCAAACAACCGAGGTCTGTCTGCACCCCTCTCCCTTAATGGTCACCTCTTTGTACCACACAATAGCACTGATCGGACAGCTGCAGCATAAACTCAATCTTTCACAAATGTTGTGACGGTACTAGAGGCATTTCAAGTTGGAGCGAAGGTAATAGATTTATTGCCAAAATGTGAAAGTTCCTTCCTCGGAATCCAGAAAACTTTCCATCGAACAGATTTTACGAATCAAGCTCATGCACCCAGATCAGCTGATTCCGAAGAAACATTCTAGCTAGCGAAACGGTTGGCTCACATGCTTCTAGTTGCCGAAATATTATGCTTTTTTTAGTACGCAACACCGTTTTCCCAAGAATTAGTATATGGTGACGAGAGTTCATTAATTTGACGGAAATTCGCCACTTATGATGATTTTTTATAATTTGAATCGTTCACCATAGACAGCCAAAAGCAGTCCTGTAATTTCGTCCTGTTTAACTCATTTGATCAAAACACTACTATTTAGATTACCCACCGAAAATCACCAATCATTCGCTCATCGGATTCGGAAGTTCTTCTTCCTTCTTGACCTCTGAGAAAGAAGGCCACTATGTTTTCACACGTTCAATGCTTTACTGTGGATGTGTAATAATGGTTTGTTTTATATTGCGTCTGGTCCGGCTTATAGTGATTGACTGCGAACGAACCCACACACCCGGTCCAGTGAGCCACTTCAAACAAACTCAATGATTCAGCACAGCTAATTCCGTGTGTGCTTCGAATATTCGCATCTACAGTGCTCATTTGATTCATCTATCCAACCGATAAATATATATCTACTAATTACTCGCCAGGAGACTACTGACCTTTCTTGACTGTGTACATTATCTTAGCTATTAATCGATATGACTCCAGTGAATTTATTCGTTTTTTCTTACTTGTTTACAGGCTGTTTAGTTTACTGATACGCACCAACCCCTTTCAGTTCAAGATCAAGCTGCATTTTTCTTACTGAGGTCTCATGTAGTTCGTTACTCATTATTTCACGGTTTATGTTGTCACATCGTAGGTGGGAAATGTGGAACTTCACCTTGCAATGAAGTGATGACTTTTAAATCTACAGTTTGATTGGAATCAGCGAAACAAATGACTGCAACACACTATCCGATAAGAAAGACCCTGGGGAAGAGACACCGTAATACAAATCATAGACAATGAAAGACGACAGTGAAAGCACATATCATTCATAAAACGTTAATATGAAAACAAGATCCTAGTTGTTGAAAGCATTAGAATTTTTATCACAGAACTGGCACGAATTCGACGATGGGACCCCAAGTCATCGGTTACACCCGAATGAAGCTATTCTTGTACATGTAGACAGAGAATGCGACATAGAGCCAACGAAACCAAACCAACTGAGAACGGTGAGCAAGCATCGCAGTATACGAGGTGGAAATCAAATGAAAGGGAACGTATATTGTGCCGGTAGTTGGCACAATGATAGACAGAATCAAATCCACCAGTGCACAATACTTCCGATAGACAGGGAACGAAATCAGACAGAATAAAGGAAGTGGTAGTTGATCCGGTCCGACTCGCAATCGCGCATTTAAAAGCGATCGAGCTATCGCACAGTGATTCGGATGCAAACTGACACCATACTGATCGAAAGTGATGATGGATCGGGACTGAAATTCCGAGGCCACGGTACGAACAACTTCCTCGATCCGCGCTTGGGGCCATTCAACTCGAGGATCGTCGGGAAATTGATTTGATGAAATAACGCGAACCTCACGCAGACCCAGCCGTTCTGCACAATCGGTGAGCTCGTCCACACGTACATCACCCAAACCCTCAAAGTCACCCGTGGACAGGCAGAGGAGATCGACTGTAGCACCGGAATCCTTCAGTCTCAACAAAATTGGCGCGAAGAACATGGCCTCATCGTCCGGATGCGCGGTAACCAGTAGCACAGGGGAAGGAAACGTCTGTCCTCGTGTGGGGCGACGGCCACGTGGAGGAGAATAGAAGGATACCCAGATGATGGACAGAAGGGCTCCAAGGAAAAACGCTGAAAGGCATTTCGGTAAGAGGGTTACCAGTTTGAGGCATGTGAAGGTGCTTGTATATCGCATGAAAAACGCAGTCAATACGAGGTGAACAGAGATGGAACGAGGCTAGGGAGCAAAGGTGGGATGAACGAAGCAGTTTCGTGTTGGGCACTATAGAGTAGCATACAATGGTCGTATAACAAAACAGGAGAAAATAAAGAAAAGGGTAAATGAACTGATCATGATGCGTATGTGAACATTCGGGCTTGGACTTCAAACCATTACCACTGAGCTACATGGTCGGAGTTTACTAAGTTCCGTAAGAGAACATATTGCCTCTCGACTGAACCTTGGATCCTCCATATCCACTTTAGTCGTGGTGACGTGCAGCCAATTCGTAGTGGGAAAAGTAAGCAGACAGTGAAACGGAGATTTCACATCTTCTGCCTAAGCAGGTGCATGCACCATGACCGTACCTATTATTGTGAGTAACAATGTCCGTTCAGTGTTTGGGAAGCTTCCGAACCTATCCTACCTGCTCCAGCGAAAGAAATTTCGCACCTCTTGTGTCTTGTGTCTTCAGGAGTCATGGACGACTCCGTGGTCCAACTGGATAATTTCGTCTGCTTCAGACAGGATAGAAAACGGTATAGGAAGAAGTTGGGAGTCGGTGTGTTTACTTACATCAATTCCAAAGTACTTTTTAAGTATTCTCAGAATGGTGTTGA